CTTATGTTATTACCGGTGTATCAGCTTTCCTGTTGTATGTACAGTTGATTTGCTTTTCAAATTGTTACTAAACGTGTTTTTTCTTTTGCTTCGTCCTAATTTCTTGAAAATATTGTTTCGTTCCATTTGTTATTTTTTTCTTCTTACTTCAACTTGCGTTTTGATACTACACAAGATTCGAAAAGAAGCATTTCTAAACAGAAATTTTTTGTTGAATTAGGTGCTGAACAGAGGATACAAAACCTTTGTGTCTCCTGTTATCAAGTTCCGGGGAATAGGCTTTTGTGCTTTCTTTGAGATTTTTCACTGTTCCTTGAAGCGACAAAATTGGCGCAGACGGTATTGGGTGTCTTTTATTACACCAGAAAAATTTGGACGGATTATTTTATTGTATTTTATTCCGGTCTAGTTGGTTTTTTTCATCTTTTCTGTGTATGATATATAGGGTAAGATGATAGAACTTCCTAATGTAAACAGTTTGGCAGAAGAAGTAAGTTAATGTAAAAGTACAGGCAGCTGTATTGGCTAAATGCTGCAAGTGGTGTAGCCAGTTGTTACTAGCCAGTTATTAAATTTGTCTCAGAATATAGTGTTTTGACTGTAATGATGGAATGCATAAAGTTTCAAAAACTGCTAAACATGGCAGTGAAGGATAAGCAAGTTAAAGAGGAAGGTGGATATCTCAAAAGATGAGGGATCTTTTTATTTTTTGGTACTGAATTCAGTGGTTTTTAAGTAAACAACGAAAAATTCAGCACATTGAAGTCAAAAAATTATACAGTATTTTGCTGTAGAAACTAGAAGAGCGAACGTATCATACCATGTAAGTTAATCGCTGGAAGGTGTCAAAAAAAGGTTAGGTTAATTTCATAAATTTTTTTAGAAGTACATTTAAAGCTATTAGATAGCTGTTTAGAGTTCAGATTTGCAGTTTCAGATATAGTAGGGTGAAAGAGTCCTACCTAGGTAACAGAGATTAACGGGACAAAAATTTTTGTCATATAAAAAGAAAATTTCAAACGTTTGACTATTTGATCGTTTGATGTGGACAAAGAGGATTGAAAGTGGAAATTTGCTCGTGGAATAAACCGCGTGGAATAGAGCACCAGGATTTGTTTCGCTTCCGATTTCAGGATTTTGAAGCTCGGATTTGTTTAATGACGACAGCGAAGCTGGACAAGGCAAATTAACAATGCATTTTGTCTGCGGTTTTGAATAAACCAGGTTTGTATGCTGAATGGCTTATGAATGTGCCATCTTTAAAATGTTTTTAACTGGAGGAGGTAATAACAACAATAGATGTCTACACTGAAAGAATTTTTGTTTCCTTCTTTATTTCCACTCAGGTGCAAAACAGCAGGGCCAACGCTATATGGAAATAATTATTCTTTCTTTCATTCAAGTGCCTTTCGCATATTGTAGAATCGTAATGCAAACAACACTTCATACAGTTAAGGACTGCATAATTCGCTTTTATGTTTGAAGGTTAGTATGTTCGCGAAACCGTTTCATGCATTTTTTTTTCCGGAATTATGATGAATATAGCGGAAGATGGGCTGTTCAGTTGAAGGTCGTTAAAGGTCCACAACCATTAATCTAATCATTTTTTTGCTTATTCTTTTTGCTCAATCGCTTTTTAATTCTCAAATTCTTTTCTGCTCAATTTTCTACTATATGCTTAGAATTTTTACTGAAAAAAAGCGTTTTTATAGTTTACAGATATTACCTTATAAACTAACAATGTTGTCCTATCAGTTTTTCTTATTTTTTTTTTATTTGGGGATTTTTGTTAATTAAGTCAGTTGTAATTGAGCACCAAAAAATACCTGTTGTTTTTGATCCTGCTGTTGAAGGAAAATTTTAAATGATTTTGTCAATACTGTTAGAAAAACTA